GACATGTCTGTACTAAAGTGTTTTATTTTGTGATTTACATGTTTTAGAATAGTTTTTTTAGGGAATAATCTTGTTTAAGGGTTATGTGTCATGTGTTATGTGTGGGTTATTGTGTCAGTGGTATAAATTAGTTTCAGTATAAGCATTTATCACCTTTATTTTTTTCTTAAACGTTCTAAAATTTCATATCATGACAGGCCTACTCACTATCTGTATATTGGTAGAGCTGTTTATCCATAAAGTCTTCAGCATTGTACATTGCTGTAGTGATTGTTTATCAAATTATTCATCCTCTGTTGTATAATACCTGTGATTATGTGTTGATTAGTCACCCGATTGGCACAGAAGGGTTCCAATGTTTTGACCACACCATTTTCTCTGTAGCACCTGAAAGTCAATTATGCATTTTATTCCATTCTTAACTATTATCCCTTCACAAATCTCTGCTTTATGAGAGTACAGAACATCAAGCAAAGTGGAGATCAATACATCTACAATAAAACAAAGTAGAATTTGATCTTTTTTATCTAGTTCTATGTTGTAGCTTCAAAACAAAATATGTATATTTTCCCAGGGCAGCTTGTTAAAAATGCCGAAATCTCCTTCAACACATGGCGCATCAAGGGGATAAATGGTAGACTGCATTATGGAGATTGTTCCTTAAAGAAGCCAATCTCATGCACAAAGCACCAGCCAATTAGCCTAAAGCACTTACCTTTTGATTGAATCTGTTTAGGTTCATAAATCAGCATGTCTGGGAAACACAAAAACAAAAGCTGCCCTCAGGCGTCTCCCGTATAGATGACTTATAACACCAGGCCACTAATCTGCTATTTGAAAGTAAAGTTGATTGGTTTGAATTGTGATTGAGTACTTACGATTATAGTGCAATTTATTTGAGAGTCTTTTGATATGCTGCAGGTGGGAGGTCAGGGGTGAAAGGTCATAAGTCACCACTATTAGTCATTGGAGGGTGCACTCTGATCTGAAGGCACATGCTGATGAACTGGGATCACTTTGTCCAATTAATAAATCAACAGGAGTGGAAAGTAAACAGTAACAAGTGTAATTTAGTCTGTCTACATCTCCAAACCTCAAAATGCTCAGTTTCACCTTGTGATGTCATGTAATAGTAGTTTTCAAGGTAGCAGGTACCTTGACCTTAAATTCAGTAGAGGAGCAGTTCAAGGTCTGAAATGATCCAAATTGCATGGGTCAAAATGCAGGGTTTGTGTGTTAACATGTGTGAATGAAACAAAAACATGTCTTTGATCAGCAAACATTATAACAAAAAAATGGCATGATGTCGGCTCTTTAACCCTCTTGCAGCCCTCGGTACATTTTTGTACATCTCAGCTTTTCTTTTTTGCACAACTTTGGCATTATTGCACCAAATAGCACCAAAATTGTCCAGTTTGAGTGTTTTGTGATGATTTTTTTATTTGTCTTTTCTTTCAACATCACATTAATTGAATGGTTTATAATCAAAATACTCACACCCGTGGTGCTTAGGTACATTTTTGTCCCAGTAACTTCCATTAAAATGGCTTTTTTTACTGGCATAACTTTGCCAGTATATATTTAATTTTTTATGTATTTTTCATTCTTTGGTATTGAAAATCCTTGAAATAGTTTTGTTTAAGTGTATTTTTGAATTTTTTGATATTTTTCTTTTTACTGTCTATCTTCTATTACAAGGTTATACCAACAGAAAGACATTTGTACATATTAGTTCACACTGAAGTTCAGAGACGTAGATATTTGAGGTTAAAATGATATGGGTGTGTTCTAGAGGAGCCTCCAGCCTCTGATAATCCCAGCACCAACACATTAAAATTCCTTGAAAGATATTGAATTGTTTTTTTATTAATTAATTTTTTTTTTTTTTTCATGCACATAATTTTTACTTTTGCTGTCAAAAATGACATTCAAGGGGTTAAACTTTCAAAATATGATATTTTTTGATATGATTAAGGCAGAAGTAAATGAAGACATTGATATAAAAAAGACGGACAAAAATCTGTACTGCATAAAAATATTGTGGTCTTCTTTTCCAGTGTAAAACAGGTGTGATTATTTTAAAGGGGTGCAGAAGGGTTAAAATGGATAGCTACAATATCACATTTGCATAATTAAATCAATGTCTGTATAATCTAAGACAGCAATTTTAATCCCACTGTGAACCCAGTTGCACATACAAGTGTTACTATAATTTATCTGTCACTGCTGAGAAATAAAACATGTACCCAAAACCACAAGTCTTTTGACACCAATTAGATGTCCCCTCAATGCTGATTTTATTATTGCAAATGTGGGCTGTGTTATAGTTGCAATAAAACATTTCTATTCCATGACTCCCCCTCAGCCTTATATTGTAGCTTTTTTACAATTAAATCCTTTTATGCTGTTGAGCTAATTGCTCCTTAGTGACCTGGGGAGCTGGGTCATAGCCAACAAGAAGAACTAATGACCTGATACCGCAGGGGTCCTCTGATGAGACGAGCCTTCCCCAGACAATGCTTTTGCAGCTCTCACTTCTTCCACGCACCGAGCAGAGGGGCCAGTTTCTCAAAGACCATGGAACCGTTAGAAGTTTAGGGGCCCCTTTTTAAAGGAATTTAAATGGCTGTTAAATGGGTTATGCCACGGTGGTGAACAGATCTTGAGGTGACTAAGTTCTCCTAGCGTGGTTACCAAAAGACGTGCTGACCGGATACTGACCTGCTCCTCTTGAGGTGAATCATAAAGTCTTTAGGAGAGATTAGCCTAATTTTACTCTTGACATCCATTCTTTTGGGCTTAGCATATCTACTTGAGGGAACGTTACTTGTATGGAAATTAATGCTCATGCCAAATCTTCAGTTTTATCAGCTGAAAAAAGCTCAAAACTCACCCAAGATTTGTTTTTTAAAGGTCCTATATTACACAGAATTGACTATTATGAGCTTTAAGCCATGTTAGAATGTTGTTACCTCGTCAAACACACATACATAGGGTTGTGTTTTGTTACATTCACATGTGTTTAAGTAATCTTTTATTATTATTAGTCTGTGCATCTCCAAAGCTCAAAATGCACTGTTCCAACTTGTGATGTCATGAAATGGTAGTTGTCAAGTTAACAGCTACTTTTTACCTTTTAGTTCAGTAGAGATTGTGGCAATTCCAGTGATGAAATCATCCAAAGAATTCTAATGAATGTGTACAGAGTTTAAAAGCACAGTGGAGCACTTCCTGTATTGCCACATAATAATAATGCATCAGTTTTATATAGTGTTTTTTGGACCCTCAGAGACACTTTACAGATCATTATTCGTTCACTCCAGACCCAGTGGTGGTAAACTACTGCTGTAGTCACAGCTGCCCTGGGCAGACTGACAGAAGGGAGGTTGCCATTTTGCAGCATCAGCCCCTCCAACCACCACCATCACACACACCACTTTCATACTAGGCAATGAGGGTGAAGTACCTTGCCTAAGGACACAACAACAGTTTTTTTTTTTTTTTTTTTTGTTTTTTTAAATGACTGGTGCCCCCATGTGGCACCTGATTTTCCCAGCGGTCTCCCATCCAAGTACTAACCAGGCCCAGCCCTGCTGAGCTTCTGAGATCTGACAGGATCAGACTATGACAAGCCGGTATGACCACATGACATCAGAAGGTGGAAGAGATTGTTTTCAGTCTGAGAAAAGAACCAAGAACAAAGATGCACTGTTTGTGTGCTAAATATGTGTGAATGAAACAAAACACAACTCCAGTTATGTTTTTGATGAGGATACAACAGTATTGATATCGAGGGCTGCTATATTGATACATTGATATATTGATTGATGAAGAGTATTTTTTGGTAAAATGTACTCATTTATTTTGTGACAGTGCTACAGTTTATGTGACACATTTGACATTTTCACTGTTTTGATGATTAACATGGGTGTATTTCATATTAACATTGCACAAGAAGTGTTTTAGACTTTTAGTATCACAGCCATGATTTAGCTGTTATCTTGTATTGAACCATATCGAATCAGTTTGAAATATATTTGAATCGAAAGCTCACTGTATGTACCATATCGTGGCCTATGTATCGAGGTGTGTATCGTATCGGCAACTTCTTATTGATACCCAGCCCTACTGCAGATCATGGTAGTTCTGAAATATTGTAGAAATCTTGATCAAACTATTGATAAGATGTACAGAAGATAACCAGGAACAACAATAAATTAATAACTTAACAAAAACATCAGATAGAATCCTGTTATTCTAAAATTGACTGTTTGACACAATTTCCGTGAACTACAATGTGTACAACAGCTAAAATTTGGTCCAATAGCTACAAAAAGACCCACAGTTACTTCACAGAGAGTGCAGAGTGCAGTACAGCATTCTATCTGACTGTTAACTATGTATGCAATTTCTCCTTCATGCACCTCAGGGACCGGTATTAGCACCCATAATGTATTCCTCTCCTACATTGTTAGGTTTGCTGTTATTTTTATCAGGAACAAGCAGGCACCCATGTACGATTACACAGCCGTACCTCAACTTTGATGCTTATTTTGATTTGAATCTTGGCTTGCATTTTAGAAATAATTCCTTCCCCATTTCCCATACTCTGAGTCTGAAACAGCGATCACCTGCTATGCATTATACCACAGGCCCCTTTCATTACAACTGTTATTTATTTATTTAGTTATTTATTTCCATTGTTGCTCGGCTTTTCTCGCGACACACATCTGCAGAGATCAAACTGCAAAACTGCTTATGTCCCACGGGATCTCATGATAGGAGTCCTTTAATGTGAAGCCTGTTGATGAGAAGGGGAAAGTGTGCAGTGTTCCTGTTATGGCTGGCTGAGCTGAGAGCAGGCTCCAGTCACGAGGGATTTGTTGTGTTTGGGGTTTTTGCCATACTGTCTGCCAGCGTGTGGGTGGATTCGTGGGGTATTCACCGTCTGCTTTTTTCACATTTTTTTTCTTTTTTTTTTTTTTTTTTTTTTCTCACAGGTACCGAATATTCAGCGCCGCACCACAGAAATGAACTGAAGACTTGGGGATCTTTCTGGAAAACATCTGACACCTGAAGCATGGGTCCACAAAGGAGAGGACATCCAAGGGTGGCGTTCGGCCTGGTCATCTGCGTGGGTGCCTTGTATCTGGCGTCAGCCTTTGAGATCCCACTAGAAGGTGAGCAATGGCTAATATCATGCAGCATAGATGGACGCAAACAATGGAAACAGGTGCATATTTTAATAACAATAGGCTCGAAGCTGTGTACGAATGGAGATGCAGATATGCTACTAAATATGTATTACCTAATATTCAAACACTATGTAATGATTATTTTAGGTTTTTTATTACTATCAAATTTACTTCTATTTACATTTTTAAGCCGAGAAAGGTGAACATATACTATTAAAGGCAAAGAAACTTACGCATCTGTAGCATCCTGATCACAGAGATCACACCTGTTCACAGAGATTTTAGTTTATTAGCACTTTTCACAACTTTCAGAAGCCAGAGCAACAACAACAAACATGCAAACTGTGCACTCCCTGATTGTAGTTACAGTAAATCATTTTAGATTTACAATTAGTACACAGCACTTATTTTGACCCAAGAGCCACTTATATGGTATATGTGTACTTTTTTTTCCATTTGATTTAATAATTCCATTTCATTGTTATAAGATGCCATGCATCCTGTGTTTTAGAGCCTATATATGAGTAGTCTGGTTGTATAAAATCAGTCATCCAGGTAGAATCCATGGCAAAGGAGAAATTCAGTTTGTGAAAAATCTTTTGTTTAGTTGACAAATTGAATTTCTCCTTTGCCTAGTAGTCCAGTTAACAATTACCCAAGTAGTCAAAAATGATTTGAGTAGTCGAGAAGTCACAAGTTTTCTAATTAGTCATTGCAACCCCCCTGCCTCAGTGTGAAAGTAAAGTTTTGATTAGTTTTACTTCCAGTAATTTCAAGGTAGAGAACAGCCCACATATAGTCTTACAATAGCTTAAGAAATAACAAGCCTTACAATGAAATTGCTGTTATATTACTTTAGTCACTATTACCCCAAAGAGGGAAATGCACCAAAACTAATGGCGCTTTATATTTGTACTCAATCTGAGTTATGAAAGTAATGTTATGCCATTTAATAGAGGCTGAATCCCACAGGAAGACATTACAACAATCTCATTTGAAAACACATTTCACAATAGCATCATCGGGGGATAAATGGATGCTGTAAATTCACTGTGAAATGAAGGAATATTGACATAATGGCCAGTAAACAACACATTAACAAGAAAGGTTAAATGTCCAAGTACTCACTCTCTGAAAACATCTCTTCAACTTCAAGAGCTTCATAAGTCTTGAATAATTTATGGTTGAATAAATCTCGCTGGTGAACTATTACCGGCATAGGAGCTTGGGTGAATGGAATATATTTACAGCTATTATCATGTTTGAATCTCATGTTTCTGCTGTTTCTTTTGTGCCGAAACTGCTCCCATCCCTGTTTCCGTAGTAACGCATATCAAACCTCTGCTTTTAAATTATTCACCAATATCTCTGTAGGGCTGGGTAAAAACACATCAAACAGTGTCTTTTGCAGACACTTATGCATTTTAGACTGTCTGAAGTTGGAAATGTAATTGAATATGCTCATTTATTTGAAAGGGGTTTGTGGTTCCCAAAGTGCTGACTGATTCTGTTGTTTTTCTCCCCTGATGCTGCGGGCTGTATAGTTTTAGGTCATGTAAACAGTAAGTGGACTCAGTTGTATTGTAGCTGTATTAGAGCTGTTAATCTCTCTCGCTCTCTGGCTCACTGTTGGGCAGAGCGGCGGCTTTACTTTCCACCATATGTGTTGGATTTGATTCTCATGTGTCATCAGTCATAGCCCCATAATATTCCAGACTTCCAGCCTCATTTGCATTCTCATTCAGCACGTGCTATCTCACAGAACTGTTTAGTGCGTTTAGTGCCATTCCATGCTACATTTAAATGATCATATTTGCAAATATACTTTACTTAAAGGTTCACTATGTAACTTTTCGGAAGAAGGTTACATCATCTGGTTGGAGGCCTGTCACCTGCTTGTTTCTATGAATATGTCGTTGCTCTGTCTGGAATTTTCCAAAGAGCATGACGTTAAACAGCTCTATCTTACTTTTATTATTTATTATAGGTGGTTTTATAGCTCAAAAATCCCTACAAAAACAGGCATTCTGGGTTGCCTCTCCACAAATGTGACCTGCAACATGGTCTGGTTTGGTCTCTATGAAGATAGAAAGGTTTATAATGCCATACTGTGAAACATTCCAGACAAAGCAATAACAACTCCACTGACGGATTAGACGGATCCTCCACCAGAAAAGTTACACCATGCGCCTTTAAGCAGGTATTTTTGAGCAATACCTCTAATTAAATAATTTGCAAAAGAGATCATTTAAATCGGCCAACAACATACTGTACAACATTTCAGGCAAAACCGTAACATCTTCATTGGTGCTCAGGTGCCAGACCTGTCACCAGAAAAGGCAAGGCAAGTTTATTTGTACAGCACAATTCGTACACAAAGTAATTCAAAGTGCTTTACAGAATAAGAAATACATTAAAATCATAATAAAAACTAATCCAAACATAAATAATCATAAAGATTAAAATTAGAAAAGAGAGACATAAATTAGAGAGAAGAGTGCAGAATGAAAACCTTTCAGTTATTTGCACAGTTAAACAGAAATGTTTTGAGTCTGGATTTAAACAGCGTCACAGAAGAGTCTGTCTCACATGTTCAGACTGTTCCAGGTTTTAGCTGCATGAACCTGAAACTTTGACTCCCCTTGTTTAGTCGTGACTCTGGACACCAGCAGGAGGCCGGTCCCTGAGCTCCTCAGAGTGTGAGATGTTCATATGACACTAACATGTCACAGATGGACTTTGGTGCTCGGCCATGGAGACACTTGTACAAGCAGAGCTGCTTTAAACTCTATTCTCTGAGGCCACAGGAGCCAGTGCAGAGACCTGAGCACAGGACTTATGTGCTCGTACCAGAAAAGTTATATTGAGTGTTTTTGTAATAAGTTAAATCTTACTCCAGCATCTATGTATCTATCCTGTGACTGTCATAGGGCTGATACTGCGTGTCAAACAAAATACATTTTTAGTGCAAAGTATTATTTGAAGTTGAAGGTTTAGGACATTTTAAAGTACTTTCTGTGCTTCCATTCAAGTAGTGAAAACAGGAACAAACTTTTACATAAACGCAAGTCAAAATGAGTAAATAGCTAATACTAATCAATATGTAGCTTTACTTTTTTCTGCATTGCAATTGCATTTATCTATTCTAATCAGGATTAGGACTCTGTTCAGAGTGCAAGTTGAACATGAGTGAACATGATGTAATGTGATAAATGCAGTTTTTGCCTGGAATTTGCAGTTCATTTGAATGTTCTTTGGACAGCATCCTTCCCTCTAACAGACATCTATTCACCAAGTCTCTCATCATTCTTTCCTTGTTTAGCCTGAGCAGACATAACACCATCCTCCTTGATTTTGATTAATTATGTGCAAACACCGTATAGTTTAATGTAGTCAGAAGCCATTTAGGGTCATGAACTTGAGTTGTAGTTGCATTTGAATATGTGAAGGCTGTGTTTTGATTCTCACCATTTGTGTGTCTGTGGTGCAGTCGAGCAGCTCCCCACCATCACAGAGCAGTCTCCCAGCTCCCTCATCGCCTTCCCTTTCGATGAGAGCTTTTCCGTGACATGTGAAGCCAAAGGGAATCCTGCGCCGGAGTGAGTACACAGTCTAGCATCCTTTTACACGAGTAAGCGAGGATGAACACTTGTTAGCAGCCACATGCCTTCAACACTCTCAATCAACTTGTTGCACTAAACTTGTTAGCGACCTGTTGAGCATGGCCTGAAAAATGACCATGCTGCAGACCACTTTTAACATGTCAATACTGGCTTTGTTTTGTAGATTCAGATGGACAAAGAACGGGCAAGAATTCGACCCTTTTCAAGACCCTCGGCTCATGAAAGAGGAGAATTCTGGGACTTTTGTTATCCCCAATAATGGAAACCTTACAGAGTACCAGGGCATGTACCGCTGCTATGCCTCCAACAAGCTCGGGACTGCCATATCAACGGAGATTGAATTCATTGTACCTCGTGAGTACTGAGGAGATGTCTAATATATATGTTATAATGACCTGCCTATTGTGAATTCCATATTGTAGTTCATTTGATAGAAAGTCAGTGAGCATATCCACTGCGACTCATATATCTCTGTGTTTGACCAAAACTGATCCAGCACTCCAGCCTCTCCATCATTTTCTTTGGTCTTTTTTTTTTTTTCATTTTGTGCCCAGCAAACTTACAATATATATTTCAAAGAAAATCCTCTCCAGAGGGGACTTTGACCAAATTTGGCTGTGCATCAGCTGCACTGACAAGTCATACATCGTATTAACTGTGATGTCTGCTTTATTTCTGCTGTCAAACAACTCAAGAAAGAGGATGAAAAAAACTAACAAAAAAAAAAAAAACATATTCTGTGCTTCTGGGTTCCACAATACTGCAACACCCCGCCTCTGCTGCAAGGATACATAAAATGGTTATACTGCCATCTACTGGACATCACTTCAAATCAGACAATAATCTTTTTTTTTTCTTTCAACAGATGTCCCAAAGTTTCCTAAAGAAACAATGGAACCACTAAAAGTGGATGAAGGACAAGCTTTTGTACTGAAATGTAACCCACCCAAAGGGATACCTCCTCTGCAGATCTACTGGATGACTATTAGTGAGTAATGAACATGATTTGTTTCAATATTATCTTTTGGTATTCTGGCATTTTAACATGTTTCTGATTCGATTCTTTCATTCAGCATAATATACCTTTCTATATGCACATTTATTTATTTTACCAGGACTGAAAATAGTTAAATTACAGGTCGCCTACTTAATATGAGCCAATTTGCCTCAAGATATGTAGTTAGTTTAATTATCTTGTTATTTATTGCACGCTAGAGCAGTATCCAATGTAATAATTTTGTGTTTTCCCATGTGTCCAGATCTCCAACATATAGAACAGGATGAGCGAGTGTCCATGGGTTTGAATGGAGACCTGTACTTTGCTCACGCGGAGGAGAAGGACAGCAGAAGAGACTACTGCTGCTTCGCCGCCTTCCCCAGGATCCGCACTATTGTACAGAAGACCGCCATGTCGGTCAATGTCCAGACAAGTATGTATGACTCCTCTCGAATACTCTCTACTACAATTACAGAAAGTACCATTTTTATCATCATCCAACATCCTCATAAGCATTCTGGTGAACAGGGTGTATTTGCTGTCTTATGTTTCCATATTGAGTTGTTGTTGTTGTTGTTGTTATTTTATTGTGTTGTAAGTCATTCATCCGTATCATATTCATGGTTTTGTTTTATCCCATTCACCTCCATTTCAGATAAAGCTAAAAGTGGCCTATTTCCAGAGGCAGGTAAGATGTACAGTGGAACACATCTATTGTTATATAAATATTTCACCTAACCACTAAGTGAAGCTTTTTTCAGAATAAATCTAACACTGAAGTTTAATTCATTTCATGTAATTAATGCACCAATCTCGTTTTGCAGCAAATGCTATCCGTGAGAGAAGGCCCGCTCTTCTGACGCCCTCTGGTGGCAAATCAGAAATAGTGCTGGTCAAAGGAGAGGAACTGAATTTAGAGTGTATTGCTGAGGGATTGTAAGTAGTTTGAATATGTTAGACTGTTGTTTGTATTATAAACTGTACATAAATTAAATCTTTATTTTATTTTATTTATTTATTTATTTTTTTTGTCTCTAGTCCAACGCCACAGGTGGAGTGGTTTAAAATAGGCCATGAACTACCTGAGAAAGCCTCAGTGGAGAATCATGGGAAATTGTTAGTTGTCTCCCAAGCTGAGCAGGAGGACAGTGGGAAGTACATGTGCAAGGCCAAGAACACGCTGGGAGAAGTCATGCATTACTTCACAGTCATAGTGGAAGGTAAAGTTACATTATAGGTACTTTCTCTTTTCTTTTCAGGCTTCAGGTTGCCATGGGAATAAAACTGATGTAATAGTTAATGTAAATCATTCAGTGACTGTACTGGCTACAGACTGAATATAACAGTGAAGTGGTTTTGGCCTCTCAACAAACTGATCTGCCAAGAAGCAAACACAGAATAACAGCAGAATACTTGCTGTCACTTGCGTGACATTTATGATTCACTGTTTCTGTGTTTCCAGAACCTCCAGAGTGGGTGTTTGAGCCAGAGAGCCAGCTCAGCATGGTTGGATCAGACGTGATCTTAAAGTGCTCCGCCAGTGGGACCCCTGAACCCACTGTAACATGGAGAGTGAACGGAGAACCTCTTGATGGTCAGTCTGTAGATGAAAATATTCATGTGATGAAAAAAATGTATTTGCAAATTAAGTAGTTTAATTTAAAGTGTGAAGATTATACAATTATTTAAAAATTAAAACATTAAAGATTACTCAAAGTAAAACCTATTAACATGTTTTGTATTTTATTATAGGCCTCAACACTTAAAAAATATAATAATAATAATAATAATAATAATAATAATAATAATAATAATAATAATAATAATAATATAATATAAAAAAAGGGACCTAACTACTTCTCTTATACATAATATAGTATATGTTGCAATCCAGTGAGATTCTTTAACCCTCACATATTGAGCATATCACATTCATACAAATTATGTCTTTTTCAAACTAGAATGTATTCATAAATCATAAATATTTAAATGATGATCTCTGAACTCATACAACTGTTTGCATGCTGGGAATACTGCCTAGACGAACTGACTGAGCTTAACTACAGAACTCCATGCACAATAACATGATAATTTGCTTTCTTGCAGAGTCACCATTACCCAACAGAAGAGTTATTGGAGACACAATAGTTCTCCACAACACTAAAGAGTCGGACAGTGCTGTGTACCAGTGCGAGGCTTCGAACAAACACGGCAGCCTGCTGGTTAACGCAAACGTCATGATTATGAGTAAGTATGCGCGTTATCTACTGTATAAATATATATGTATATATAAACCTGTTGGGCCTATTAACACTTAGCTCATAAAACACATTTCATTTTTAAGAAAGAGGCAGACTTTGCACTTAGTCATCAGGGACACCACTGCTGAGTCACATCAAAGGAGAGAGCTGCTGTCGATGTTGGCATATGACCACAAAGTAGCTGGGGGCCTGGGGAAGGTTGGCTGTCGAAACGCTATATGCATACTTCATTTTCTCTCTCTCCCCCTGGAACAACAAGACCCATTCACAGCCATTTATATGCTAACAAGTTTTCTCCAAATCCAACCTCATTTCATTGCAAAAGACTAGCATATTGGTGCTTTACACCAAAAAAACAGATAGATGCAATATATGGCTTGTGTGTTGCACCAGTGTGTGAAGTCTGACACTGGGTTTAATTGAGCTGGACACTCACTGAATGCCAAATCCAAGCTGCTTCCTTTGTAAACAATTATGAGAGACAGTGTATTTTAATAAGGGGAAGTGGCTGAAACTGATAAGGAGCAAGCGCCTCTGTCTCTCAGTATTATGCAGTTTTATTCTTTTGTTTTCTTGACATAACAGCTGTCTAACAACTTTAGTGGTTATGCTGGGTATATTATATGAATGTAACAAAGAGTCTAAACACATAATATAGTGAGTGTAATTCAGGAGAACTAGCCCAGTAAGTGTATTTGTTTAATTTATTAGCAATATATTAAAAAAAATGACTGAAGTTACCAGTGTTGGGAATGTTACTTTTAAAATGTATTCCCCTACAGATTACAGATTACATACCCCAAAATGTAGTTTGTAATGGAATCCATGAAATTACTTAAGGTGAGTAATGTAATCTGAATACTTTGGATTACTTCATTTGCTGTAGAGAAGCAAAGACGAGGATATCGTAACATAAGATGTTTTGTCTGATAAAAGAAAATAAAAAGCCCAGACTTTACTGAACCGTATTAAAAATATTATTGATAGTTTAGTCCTGTTAAATCCTGGTTTAGTCCTGGTTTAGACCTGTTTTAGACCTGGTTTTAGTCCTGGTTTAGTCCTGGTTTAGATCTAGTTTAGATCTAGTTTAAACCTAGTTTAGACCCGGTTTAGTTTCCACAATGAGTGGAATTACCGAGAAAAAAAAAAAAGAAAAAAAAAGGGGGGGGGATATAACCCAAAATGTAAAAACAGGAAAATACCACCATGTAATCCATTTATTTCAACAAAGTAACTGTAATCTAATTACCATTCAATGAAACAGTAACTGTAACTGAATACAGTTACTCATAATTTGTACTCTGATTATGGAACTCTGGAACATGTAATCTGTTACTCCCCAACACTGGAAGTTACAATGGGAGTCCAGCTGGATTTTGACCCCAGAAGGATCCTGTTGCTCATATTTTTGGCGGTAAAGATCTATTGACCTCCTCAAAGAAATCCAAAGAGTGTATTTCTTTATACTCCATATATAGGGCTGGGTATCATTAAGAAGTTGCCGATACGATACATACCTCGATACACAGGCCACGATACAATACATATCTCGATACAGTGCACTTTCGATTTAATACGATATATTTCAAATTGATTCGATACGGTTCAATAAAAAATAAAGTCTAAACCATGGCTGTGATACTAAAGTCTTTGTTAAACCACTTCTTCTTGTGCAAAGTTCATATGAAACACAAACATTTTAATCATCAAAACAGTGAAAATGTCAAATGTGTCACATAAATGAGTTTCCTTTCACTCCACAAGCAACAAAACTGTAGCTCTGTAACAAAATAATGTAGTAAAACACATGTAAAAATACTCTTGCTGATATATCGATAGAGCAGCCCACGATATCGATACTGTATCATCACATTAAACGATACGATATATCGATATTCTGATATTTTTGCACACCCCTATCCATATATACGCTTTATTTTCTAACTTCACATAAAATCACCTCACTGCATTTCACTGAACCGAAGTATAATAGAACAATTTAGAATCTTTCCATTGTATTTGGTGACCTGTTTCTGTGCAGATCTTCCTCCCATGATTCTGACCAATGAGGGAGAAGATTACTCCGCTGTGGAGGGGAAGGGGGTCATTATGCACTGCAACGTCTTCAGCTCTCCTCCGTCCACCATCACTTGGTAAGTGTTTAGCTTGCACCAGCAGAGGGCACTAGATATCAACTGACTGCAAATGCTCCTTCTACAGACAGGATTTCTCGTTATGGCTCCGTCTTGTTCAAATATGTTTCAGCACTTTACTCTTATTCAGTTGATACTCTGCAGCTGATGTGATCAACTTTCCCTGAGGGTGTGATGCTAACTAAAGGCACTACTCTGTTTGAAGCTCTGTTAGACTTTAATCTGATCTTTAATTTAACACAATCTGACCAGAAAGAGATGGCTTAGTTGGAACTACAACAGGTCATCTGATATAAGATGAGCTGACTTAAAACAGTTACTCACACGCACCTGTTTTTGTTGAAAATCAAACACCTAAGCAAGACTGTGAATGCTGGAATTGATCACAGGCCTGAAAATGTATTGTTTAAATCAATTTTGTATTTTTTTCTTGCGTTTGTAGACTTTCAGATGTTCAGATGTTCATATTGTGTCTGAACTGAAATGTAGTGTTTTGAAATGTTTTAAAGTAACTATCGATGTTGATGTGTCGTCTTGAATAGGGAAAAAGGGGGCAGATAACTTAAGATTACTTTTCTGTCTGCTCCTTTTCATTCATTTTTTGTATGTTGACGTCTTTTTTATACTTGAATGAATAAATGAAATAAACAAAACAAAAAAAATTATACAAATCTTTTTTTAAAAATCAGCAATGTTTTTCTAATGGTAATCATTATGGTAGCTGCTTAACATTCCGCCATAGGCATATCTGTAAAACATCCCCAGTGTGATGTCACTGCATAGTGTCAATATGATTCATCTACAGGGAGTGGTCCTCTGAACAACTGGAATTAGATGTAATATGTTTATATGATAAGCACTATTTTAATACATACCATATTACAAAATAAGTAAAACTATTCTACTACTTTTTATTATTAATTATGTTTTTTTTAAATGACCTATATTGCTGATGAAAATTGTGTTTGAATATGTAAAATTGTCACTGTATTTGTGTATTATTATTGTTTATTTCATATGACATTTTGTTTTGGTTTCATACTACAAAGCCAAGTTGCTGAAAATGATTGTGAAGCTAAGTAGAAAACACACCCACACACACACACACACACACACACACACACACATATAAACATCTATATTTCCTACGGTCAACTTCACCTCCCCTGAAGCCAGTTTTCCTAACCTTGCTCAATTTGTTTAACCCATTTTACCCCCGCTGTTATGAAAAATGTCACCAATTTCTGCTCTCACTGGCACCTATGTGAGTTATTCCCGGACGTTTCAAAACATTTCTAAAGTGTTTCACTCTATTTCTTTTGCCCGCAGGAGCAGAGACGACTCCTTTGAATCTGTGCAAGGCCCTCGCTTCTCCATACACGACAATGGCTCTTTGGAGATCTATGAAGCTGACAAGGATGACGCGGGGCAGTACACATGCCTCGCCAAGAACATTGAGGGAACTTCTGCGATTGAGGCAAAGCTCTCTGTGAAAGGTAAACTGTTTTGAAACATATGTTCAAGTATTTGCTTCAACTCACAGTCCTTGGAATGTAACTAATGCTGCTGTGCCTATGGAAGATCCCACAAGAATAGTGGTGGGCCCAGAGGAACAGCAGATCTTAATAGGTACCACGGCGCAGCTCTCGTGCCTGGCAGAGTACGACAAGTCCTTCAGCAATGACTTTGAGCTCCTTTGGGAAAAGGATGATATGGAGATAGGCCTGAACTACACTGAGAATCCAAGGTAGGAGAGAGGAGTTTTCGCGCGGCTCTTTCAGTCTCGGCTGGATTGCGGTTTCGCGTTTGTCAATCAATACTGCGTCTGTCTCCCATCTTCCTGTCAGCAGATACTTAGTGGAGGAGGGAGTTCTTCATATTATCAATGTGAGCCACAAGGACCAGGGTCTGTACAGATGTGTGGCCAGGACGCCCCTAGACCAGGATGCGGCGTCGGCCTGGCTCACTGTCCTAGGTGAGGAGATGCACCCCTGAAATTCATGTTCTAAATCAAGTTTGTTTGACCTCACATTTACCATTTTACAAGTATTACAAGTATTTTACAAGTATTATTACAAGTTTTTCTGTGATAGTAGAAGTTATTGATGTCATAATCTGGGAGCTGACCAACCAAGAGTCTAAAGGTGGACTAACTAAATTTTCAGGCGGAGGGTCTGCTACCTGCTTGTTTCCATGGAGTTTTTATTACTTTTCTATTATTATTTTTTTATTATTATTATTTTTTGCGTACACAAATCAGATGCCCCCCCCCCAGAAAAGAAAAATAAATAATAATACCAAAAAAAAGAAAAAATCTGTGGTATGGCATTATTATTATTATTTATTATTTATTTATTTATTTATTTATTTATTTATTTATTTATTTATTTATTTATTTACATCCATGGAGACATGCAGCTGCCACCACCAGGACAAGTTAAAGGTCAGATCTGTGGAGATATGATTTGTTTTCAAAGTAATTTTGGCAATTAAAAACACCGACAATTGAATTAAATGCAAGACAGAGACAGTCATTTTAGTGACATACTGTTGGGAATTCTAGGCAAAGTATAAACATCTCTAATGCATCATTAATGCTGTCATAATCTGGGATCTGATTAACCTTTATAAATACTTAAAGTTGACATCAAAGCAAGAAGCATTTTTATTCTTTTCAGTAACTTAATACACTTTAATAGAAATTAAAAGTACTGTGTTTAAATGGGTTGGGTCATCTCACAATAGGTCCTTTTTTTTTTTTTTTGCTTTCCTTTGTAACTTTCTAACACAGATACCAGGTCATAAGAGGGTCTGCTCAAGGTTAAAAGGCAATTTTCCCTTGCCACTTTTGCCAAGAACATGCTCATGGGGGAAATGTTTGATTTTCTCTGTAAAGTATATAGTCTGGGTGTACTTAACTTTTACTGGGAAGTGCCTAGAGACTTTGGAAGGTCTGTCAGTGTTCCCCTTTGGACATATTTCATTGGACCACTTATCAAAAAGTTGCCCTGCTCGCTCACATATAAGATTATAGCAGTACTGTATTGAGTTTCCGCTGTGTTTTATTTATTCTGTGTTTTGTCCTTTAAACAAATATTTGTAATATTTGTAATAATTGTTTTTGTTCTCTTTTTTTTTTTTGTATGCTTTTTTAATCACTGATCTAGGTCATCAAAAGGAGACAAACACAGATTAAATTAGTATCCAAACTAAATACTCACTTAAGTGGAAAAAAAACATATAACTGAATAAAACATGACTTTTTCCTCTTGACATTTATCAGAACTAAAGTAAAACCACGTGGTATAATGGCCAGATACTATTATTTTGTCTTGAAAATTACAATAATGTATTCAAAATTTTAAATGATCTTTTGAGCTTTAAAATTAGTATTGAGTCTGTTAAAAGGGGCAGTAGTAGCTCAGTTGGTGGAGCATTCACCCACTGATCTGAAGGTTGGTGGTTCAATTCCAGCTCTCAACATAAACATCACAGGTTGAGCGGTCAGATCCACTGACCCACAGGTTGGCTGGTGTGATTCCAGCTCCCACAGATGAATGCTGTCATTGTGTCCTTGGGCAAGACACTTAACCCACCTTGCCCACAGTGTCTGTGTACACTGGTGTGTGAATGGGTGGGTGGTTCCTTGTTGTAAAGTGCCTTGAAGGTGGAAAAGTGCTATAGAAAAATGTGACCATTTACCAAAAGTGTGACATTTTAGTTTGAAATTGTAGTATCATGATAACTGTATTTGTTATTACAGCAGCATGTGATTCTTTTCACTGTGGGATCAATAACATCGTGTCTTGTTGTTTCATCCTAGTCTACCCTTGACAATTAAACTTGGCTTTCTCCTCCTTGTCATTATAACCCCTCAACATGTCTTCCATTGCTTCTTTTCTCTCTGATAAAAGTTGTTGTGTCAGATTATTTTTTCTAAGACCGTGTTGTTTGCAGACGTACCTGATGCACCTGAGAGCTTGGTCCTGTCTGAACACAAGGGGAGAAATGTGAAACTCAAATGGATCCCTGGAGACGAGCACAACAGCTCCACAACAGGTATAACCGCATCTGCAACACTGCGGATGTGACAGTGCATCTAATATGAGTCATTCTGGTCAGCACAATTAGTATGCCAGGCACTGTTTTGGCCCCATAATCACAATTCTGCATGTTAATACAACAGTTTGATACCATCTTGTACAAAATTATTCTATTATTGATTCACCCGTGCATGAATTATGATTAGCCCCCCGCTGGATTACACAGACCGAGAGCATGGTTTGAGGGAGTTTTCGGCACAGCTGGTGGTTAGATAAGCAACCTTCGGCATAAACAGCCGGAGAGGTGGTCCTGATTGTCTTTTGCTGTCTACAGAGTTTATTATCCAATTCGAGGAGAGTCAGTGGGAGCCGGGGAAATGGAAGGAGCTGCTCCGAGTACCGGGGAATCTTCACTCCACCCTGCTCAAGCTCCATGGTCACGTCGACTATCGCTTTAGAGTGGCGGGTGTGAATGCAGTCGGCACGGGAGCCTACAGTGAGCCCACAGAGAGATACAAAACCCCATCTGCAGGTTTGATGCTTTCATTGCATATTGTTAATTACTTGGAAACACTCACTAACCCTCCTATATTATTTTTGGTACAATAATTCAAAGCAATGTTCCTTAAGGAATTTGTCCTCCAATAGACAGAATAGATCTGTCCTGGCCAGCCAAGACCACAATACTTAGGCATTTTAGTTTGTACAATTACAGATGGTATGATTGACAGCCAGATTAACAGCTAATCAGAGAAACACATGGTCCATTTGAGCCAAAACAAACATGGTGGCTTATGAGAAAAGAAGCAAAACCAACAAAAAACTCACATAACGGAGAAACTGATTTCTGCAGAACAATTGAAGCACAAACTGTAAATCTGAGGTGAAATAAGTCATATATTTTGTTCAGAATGCTGGATATTCAAGAAGACATGTCTTCCACATTTGAGAGACACTTGCTACAAATTAGCGGCTGTGATTGACACGTCCCAAAAAAGAACACTTATCTACTGCACTCTGTGGCCTGCTTCCAAACCTTTTGGCAATCGAATAGAAAGTAGACTGACCAAGTAAGGAAAGACCAGGGGTTTAAATCCACAAGCTAATAATAAAAGCTCATTTCAGTTTATTTTGGTAAGATACTAATTACTTTTTTACTATAAGTCATTTTATTGTTAAGTGTATATACTAAACTTACATTAAAGATTCTATGTTATGCATAATTGACTCTTGTGAGCTTAATGCCATGTTAGAATGTGGTTACATCCTCATAAACCCTCCCAGAGTTGTGGTGTGTTTCATTCACATGTTTGAGAAACCCTTTATTATTATTATGTAAACATTTCCAAAGCTTGTAATGCCATAGTTTTCAAGTTAACAGCTCCTTTTACCTTTTGTTCAGTACAGAGGATTTTCCAGGACTGACATCATCTAGTTTCTAGTGAAAGTGTATGGAGTTTAAAAACACAGTGGAGCACTTCCTGTATTACCACATGACCTCACAAGGTGAAACACATTGTTTTCAGTTTGAGAGCATGCCTAAATATGCAATAAGTGTGTGAATGAAACAAAACACAACTCCATGTATGTTTTTGATGAGCAAACATTAAATCATAGACTATACTGCCAGAAGTATTTGCTCACCTGCTTTAAGTCACATAGTGACATCTCATTCTTAATCCATAGGGTTTAATATGATGTAGGTCCACCCTTTGCAGTTTAGGGTTAGCTTCAACTGTTTTGGGAAGGCTGTCCACAAGGTTTAGGAGTGTGTTTATGGGAATTTTTGACCACTCTTCCAGAAGCGCATTTGTGAAGTCACACACTGATGTTAGATGAGAAGGCCTGGCTTTCAGTCTCCGCTCTAATTTATCCCAAAGGTGTTCTATCAGGTTGAGGTCAAGACTCTGTGCAGGCCAGTCAGCTTCATCCACACCAAACTCTTTCATCCATTTCTTTATGGACCTTGCTTTGTGCACTGGTCACAGTCATGTTGGTGAGGAAGGGACCATCTCCAAACTCTTCCCACAAAGTTGGGAGCATGGAATTGCCCAAAATCTCTTGGTAAACTGAAGCACTCAGAGTTCCTTTCATTAGAACTAAGGTGCCAAGCCCAGCTCCTGAAAAATAGCCTCCCACCATAATCCTCACTCCACCAGACTTTACTTCACTTGGCACTATGCAGTCAGACAACTACTGTTCTCCTGGCAACTGCCAAACCTAGACCCGTCCATCAGATTGCCAGATGGAGAATCACAATTTGTCACTCCAGAGAACATGTCTCCACTGCTCTAGAGTCCAGTGGCGCTTTACACCACTGTATCTGACGCTTTGCATTGCACTTGGAGATGTATGGTTTGGATGCAGCTGCTCGGCCATGGAAACTCATTCCATGAAGCTCTCTATGCACTGTTCTTGAGCTAATCTGAAGGACACATGAAGTTTGGAGGTCTCTCTGTTGGGATTGACTCTGCAGAACGTTGTCGACCTCTGCGCATTATTGTGCCTCAGCATCCGCTGACCCCGCCCTGTCAGTTCAGTTTATGTGACCTACCACTTCGTGGCTGAGTTGCTGTTGATCCCAATTGCTTCCACTTTCTTATAATAGCACTGACAGTTGACTGTGGACTATTTAGGACTGGACTTGCTGCAGAGGTGGCATCCTATCACAGTACAGTACATATTCTGTCAGAAATGTTAGTAGAAACAGTCTGCATGCCGAGGTGCTTTATACACCTGTGGCCATGAAAGTGATTGGAAAACCTGTATGAGTATTTGGATGGGTGACTGAATACTTTTCTCCATAAATCAGAAAATAGTGTAATATAGGCCCTTTAAACATGGAAAACTATAATACTGTTGTTTTGAGCTTTTGAAAAGTAGTATAAAAGTATATTAGTATTTATTTGCATTTCCATTATAATAAAGAACATGTGGTAATATTACATCTTTACCCTCAGATGAACTAAGTGATGTCATATAAGCAGCACAGCAGATGGCTTGTTATTGAGCTTTATAAAATGATACGGTGTATATAACAATGCTGATTTTGCCATATAAAAGTGTCAGAGTCACCTGCTGCATATTGTTTAGCACAAACCAGACTTTCAGGGACTTTCTGGGCCACTCGTCTGGCCCACTCCGCCGTACTGTGAACTTTAAAACACTCGGCCCTGCTACATAATTGATTCCCCTCTGGTTGAAAAATCTGCTCTCTTGTTCGCCTTTTCCACTTGAGATTTCTTCCCTAACAATGCCGGCAAAATCTATATTGCTTCTTTCTTTTTTTTCTCTCTTTGCAGCACCTGACAAGAACCCCGAAACTATCAAAATCGAAGGTCATTTGCCACATGAAATGGATATCAACTGGGAGGTGAGGTGCAGAGATAGGCTTGTGCTTATCAGACAGCTGTGCATTGTGTTATATGGGCTGCCTTTACAAACTGAATTATTCACAGAGCCTACGGTACTCAAGGTGGGGAGGTTTTATCAATACGGTGCAGGCAATTATCAATGAGAATTTTGCAATGAGAAACTGCCGCTTATGACATTTCCATCTGCAGTGGTAATCTTTAGTCTGGCCCTTATTCATAACTCTTAGACTATTGTACAATGACAAATGCTGTGAAACCAAACTCCTCTTTAAGACGCAATATATTTGACTTCATTCTCCTCTGGCCTTATTATCCAGCTTCTCTGTCATCCTGCGCAGAATTCTAGATCTATGTGCTCCCCGTCTGCTAATGATTTGCTTTTGTATGTAATGGTTTCTCATCCCATTTCTCAGCAAAGGGCCGGCCTCTGTGGTGAGATAGATCTTTTCATCCACGATGCCTTTGCAAAGCCCGTATCAAAGCAGAGCCGGGCTGTAAGTCGGGGTCAATTGTTCCATTGTTTTACTAGATAGCGAGATAAAACGCTACTGTTCCAAACACAGTTCACTGGGTCTGCTTGTCACTTTAATCCCACAGAGGCGACCGCTGAAATACAACAGACGTCTTATGCAACTGTGGATGTCTCTATGAAACTTTCAGCTGTTGTTCCCTTTTTTACTATGTTTACCCTGTATTGTATCCGCAGCCTTTATTGCCCATAGAACACAACGGGCCCGGGTTGGAGTACAAGGTGAGCTATAGGCGGCAGGATATTGAGGAGGACTGGCATGAACACATGGTGAAGAGGCATTCCTTTTTGGTGAAGAACACGCCGACGTTTGTTCCGTATGAAATCAAGATCCAAGCCAAGAACAATCAGGGCTGGGGACCGGAGCCCAAGATTGTGACAGGATACTCAGGAGAGGACTGTATGTACCTTCTTCTGCTTTTATTATATTGCGTTCTAGTGTAATTGTCATGAAAAAATTGAAAAATAAACCGTCTAGATAAGCGTTTTCACTTTTTAGATCACTTTTTTTCTGGGGATCCATATTTTAAAAGTCGCAAACCTTCGCAACCCAAGTCAATAGACATTATACGTAAATCAACTGAACATTAATGAGGATATTTTATTGTTGACTGACTGATCATGTCTCTTTGAACAATTAGTATTACTCAAGTTTTAAACAATGAAAAACAGTAATTGAACTAGTAATAAAAGGATCTATAATCAGTGTTGGGAAGGTTCCTTTTCAAATGTATTCCCCTACAGATTACAGATTACATACACCAAAATGTAGTTTGTAACAGAATCCATTAAATTACTTAAAGTGAGTAACATAATCTGTGAATACTTTGGATTACTTGATGTTGTCATGCTTTTTAAAACTACATGAATGTAATAACACATCCTGAAAATTCTTGTTTGTTCTCTTCAAATTGTCTGTTGAGCCCAAATCTCCATGAACAGACTTTTGTTTTACTGTAGAGAAACAAAGACTAAGATGTTTTGTTTGTTTAAAGACAATAAAAAGACCAGTCTCTCCTTAACCAGATTAAAAATATTATTGATAGAGAAATTATTTCTATGAGATCACCTTTTAATTATGTCCACCTACTGTTGGGTGTCATATTGTTTAGTCCTGGTTTAATCCTGGTTTAATCCTGGTTTAGACCTGGTTTAGTCCTGGTTTAGTCCTGGTTTAATCCTGGTTTAGTCCTGGTTTAGTCCTGGTTTAGTCCTGGTTTAATCCTGGTTTAGTCCTGGTTTAGTCCTGGTTTAGTCTGGTTTAATTGTTAGTCCTGGTTTAGTCCTGGTTTGTTTAGACCTGGTTTATCCTGGTTTAATCCTGGTTTAGTCCTGGTTTAGACCTGGTTTTAGTCCTGGTTTAGACCTGGTTTAGTCCTGGTTTAATCCCTGTTTAAACCTGGTTTAGTCCTGGTTTAGCCCAAAATGTGAAAACCGGAAAATACCGCCGTGTAATCCATTTATTTCAACAAAGTAACTGTAATCCAATTACCACTCACTGAAACAGTAACTGTAACTGAATACAATTAACTCATAAATTTGTACTCTGATTACATAATACCGGTACATGTAATTTGTTACTCCCCAACACTGTCTATAAGTCGCCTATTTGGACATTAAATGTAACCCATTTCTTTTTCTTTTCAACATTTAATTGAACCAGCAAAACTGGAACAAAATTAAACTTATATTGCAGACCTACATGCAGATCATGACAAGGCGAACCCCCCCAAAAAATCTCTGATGGTCCCAACCCAGTCTTTGGGAAACAACGGTCTAGATGACTTAGGCAGTGGTGGTTTTCACTGAGCTGAACCATTTACTCTGTTTACTCTCTTGTATTGGTGGTTTTCAGATAGTACAGAGTAATGATGTCATGCTCCCAGATGGGGGACAAGAGTCAGTTTTCCCTATTGATTTCATTGTACTTTGCCATAAAGTATCCAAATGTTGAACCTGATCATTTCTATCAGTGACTAGACCCAAGAACTCACTGTATCACAGCAAAAATCTGCATTTCATCAATATTAGTTTTAGTCATCCACATTTGTATAGAATGTTGTTATTTCATCTGAAACCCAGCAATTCAAATGATGTGGTTTTGTGTACGCATAATGTGGATGTCAACAATACAAAGGTACAGTTTAAAAACTTGTATATGATAAACAATTTGCCCAATAATTGTAGAAGAAGCCAGTGTTCAAATTTCCAGAAATACTAGTAATTACAAAAGTCACCGTAACAAAGTGTACTTCCTGTTTAGCTTTCTTCTGGACATGCCCTCAAGAGTTCAACACAGGTCATAATCCGTACCCCACTTGTCTTGTCCGTGGTTTTAAAATATATATTTTAGCATGTAGTTTCCCTAGCAACAGTTTATTCCCAGTAAGATAACAGTAGCTTGGCAGTCAATGTAAATGTTGTGTTGCCATTCTTATTTTAGTCCAGTAATACTTCTTGTCCCACTTCTGGCAGTAAGATGTCCATTTGCCTTTTGCAGTTCCCTCCGCTGCTCCGGACGATGTTGGCGTAGAGGTGATGAACGGCTCAGTGGTCAAGGTTACCTGGGCGCCGGTGCACAAGGACAAGTTGCACGGACATCTGGGCGGCTACAGGGTAATGCCTCACAAACACACCTTTGGCTTTAGACACAGTTTAAAAGGAAGGGCCTGACCATGCGCCAAACATTTACTTCTTTCACCCCTCTGTACCTCCTTCACTTGGCCTGCTTAATGTTCTGCACACATAATTTAGTAGTTGACATTGGTTAAAGGAGACATATGTTTTTTTCTAGCATCTAAAAGTGGGTCCAGCTCTTCACAGTTGCATTTTTCACTAGCGAGCAGTGGGTTTTCATCTGTTTTTGTTGTTGAAAAATGGCTACACATTTCTGAATCCTACACGTATGACCCTAAGTCTGCAATTTACAGGGGACTAATGAGGTAAAAACTGAAATTTGGTTAGTCAAACACACATGGACCAGTCTTTGTGTAAACTAAGGGAACAATGTTATAACAAGGCTAAAAGTTTATTAAAATTTTGCATATGCCTGATTGGGAAAGATTAAAATGCAGATAATCTGTTGTGTGTAGTTGGAAGTTGAGAAGTTCCAATGATTAACTGGGGTAATTGAGATTAATCCACTATGTGTTTAACCATCTGGACTATATTTATCCATCAAAGAAATACTTAAAATATTTGTTTTTGAGTATATCAATTCCCAGCATGTCTTGTCAGAAAAATTGCTAGTTTGGGGAGTCAGCCCCTCCAACTTTCTGTTCAGGTGTGTTTGAGTGTGATCAGGCACACAGCACAAAGTTTCTCCAAAAGTTCTGTAGTCTTATCTGAACAAAAAAAAAAATGAAATGAGATACGCTTCAAAAGTTATATGCCCAAATATACCCATCATATAATTTTCAGTCATCTATAATTCAATCGAAATACATCTGAGAACTGTAATGAACCAATTCTTCCCTCTGCATGATTTCTGCAGATTGGGATTTAAAAACCAATGTACATTTTAAATGGCTTCCTTTCTCTTCCACAAGGCTGTATCGATCCAAAACAGACAGTCCACTGCAACATTTAACACTTTTTCTTTACTGTATAAATATTTTAAACTTTGCAGTCAGTCTGAGAATAACTTTTGCCTCTTTTTGCTCTCCCACCTTCAGATAAACTGGTGGCGTCTGCGCAGTCTGGTCGACTCAAAGAAACAACATGGGGACAAGCACACACTCACAGTCCCAGGGGAGAGGTCACACGCCACAGTACCTGGGCTCACCCCATTCTCCGAGTACAGCCTCATCGTCATGACCTTCAACGGGAGGGGCAACGGTCCCGGCAGCCACCCTGTCAACTTCAAAACCCCAGAGGGAGGTAGGAAAGCTGGCAAAAAAAAAAAAAAAAAAAAAAAAAAAAAACAGCATGGAGTGTATCGATTCACAACTTCTAAGGGGGCAATCTAATAATAGGAAAGTAGGGATCAGTGCTGCTGGTGAATGCTAGTACTTACTGTGTGTGTGTGTGTATTGTTTTCTTTTTCCACAGTCCCAGAGAAGAATCCCGTTTTCAGGGTCATGGATGTACAGAGGCACAGCGTGTCTTTGGCCTGGGCCCCGCCGCTGGAGCCCAATGGGATTCTCACTGGATACCTCCTGGAGTATCAGCTGAGTACGTGCTTGTGCTTTTATGCTGGATTTTCAGTGTTAACGTGTACGACACAAACGAGAACATGCATTTTTCGAATGCAGCTGTGATAGTGTCCGGGTTATTGTCATCTTGCAAGTACACTGTAAAATTAAAAGCACTCTACTTGTGGTTACATGGTATGAGGTTAAATGTATCTACTTTACATCAAATAATTATAGGGGTTGTATAGCATAGAACACCATGACAACAACAACATGCATTCTTACTGAGGCAAGATTGCCTCTCCATAGATCTGCTGTAGACAGTGTTGGGAAGGTTACTTTTAAAATGTACTCCCCTACAGATTACAGATTACATACCCCAAAATGTAGTTTGTAACGTAATCCATTAAATTACTTAAAGTGGGGAACGTAATCTGAATACTTTGGATTACTTCATTTGCTGTAGAGAAGCAAAGACCAGAATATCGTAACATAAGATGTTTTGTCTGATAAAAGAAAATAAAAAGCCCAGACTTTACTGAACCAAATTAAAAATATTATTGATAGAAGAGGAGGAGACACGTCCACACGGCATGATTTAGTCCTGTTGAATCCTGTTTGAGACCTGGTTTAGACCTGGTTTTAGTCTTGGTTTAGTCCTGGTTTAGTCCTGGTTTAGACCTGGTTTAGTTCTGGTTTAGTTCTAGTTTAGTCTCGGTTTAGTCCTGGTTTAGTCCTGGTTTAGACCTGGTTTAGACCTGGTTTAGACCTAGTTTAGTTCTAGTTTAGTCTTGGTTTAGACCTGGTTTAGACCTAGTTTAGTTCTAGTTTAGTCTTGGTTTAGACCTGGTTTAGTCCTGCTTTAGTCCTGGTTTAGTCCTGGTTCAGACCTGGTTTAGACCTAGTTTAGTTTTAGTTTAGTCTTGGTTTAGACCTGGTTTAGTCCTGGTTTAGTCCTACTTTAGTTGTGGTTTAGTCCTGGTTTGGACCTGGGTTTAGACCTGGTCTAGACCTGGTTTTAGTCCTGGTTTCAAGCAACAGAGACAAGCATCACTTGCTTGTCTCTGTTGAGCTAGATACGTTTGATGCCATATTGTGGAACATTCTAGGGAAAGTAATACTCTCTTTATAGACACAAGCAGATGGCAGACCCTCCACCAGTAATATTCCAAAATGCACCTTTAAGAACTGTACGTTTCATTACTGAATTTGTGTAGGGTAAATCTTACATTATTTTCCCAATTCTGGCCAAATTATCTCTGAGTGAAGATCATTTCTGAACTGAAGATTGCATTTAGATTTGATTTTCATAGGAATTCTTCACATACACAACTGCCTCTGACGGTAAACCGATGTACACCACTGCAGTCTTTCATGGGTGGGTGGATATATGGCTCATTGGGTTTGGTCTAACCTCTCAGACCCTGGGTGCAGCTGGGGAAATCAAGGTGGTCTGAGTTAGGGTGAGGTCACGCTGAGGTCACGGACGGGGTCGGAGCAAAACCACCAACTCATGTACACAAAGCCAGCAAAGGTGATGTCCACAGAGCTGTTTTGTGTTGTCTTCTGACCCTATCCCGTCTTCACCTCTGCTCTACTGGGACACCTTGCTCTTTGCTGTCCTTAAACACAAGTTCGAACAAAGCTAATGACTCCCAACTTCCAGCAGTATCTTAGCGGCACATTTCCTGGCTAATTGAGTTTGATTTGGCAACTGCACAAAAGGGCCAAGTGTCTAGCAGTCTTTTAGCCGAGGACGTTTTGATTGTGGCGCTGCAATAAAGCCGATGGAGCCTTTGAAGTGTGACTTTTTTTTTAAAGTTCCCTTGAAGCGAGTCATGTGCGAAATGTAGAGGATAATGCAACCAGCTGTCAGCGCGGGGTCTAAGCGGTGCGTTTGGAATCTCAAGATGTTGCACAGATGCTTCAGGGGTACGCCCACCACTACAACAGCCTTTAATGGGGCCTGTTTTGAAGATTTTTCTTTTTTTCTCCATTAAATAGTTAATAAATTGCAGTTGTATCCTTGCTTGTGACTTCCATTTAACTGGCTTTGCTTCTTTGCAATGAGGGTGAGAAATGCATGTTCTAGCTATGTTGGAACGTTAAAGGCACTGTTACAGATTTTTACTGTCTTTAAAACATGAAAAAGAGAAGTAGTTCATTTTAAAAGTTTGCAGTGGTCCAGAGTTATTCCTTATTTATTTTATGCGTTCAGAGCATTCACTGTGATGAGTTTATAAGCACTTTTCACTACTTTCAGATTATGAATTTATGATTTATGATCAGTGTTGGGAAGGTGTGGGAATGTATTCCCCTACAGATTACAGATTACATACCCCAAAATGTAGTTTGTAACGGAATCTATTAAATTACTTAAGGTGAGTAACGTAATCTGAATACTTTGGATTACTTGATATTGTCACGTTTTTTAAAACTACATGAATGTAACAAACACATCCTGAAAGTTCATGTTTGTTCAGTCTTTATTTGACCATATAAAAAATATTATTGATAAAGAAATGATTTTTATATGAGATCACTGCTGACTTCAGTTATGTCCACCTACTGTTAGTGTCATATTGTATTAGTTTAGTTCTGGTTTAGACCTGGTTTAGTCCTGGTTTTAGTTCTGGTTTAGTCCTGGTTTTAGTCCTGGTTTAGACCTGCTTTAGTCCTGGTTTAGTCCTGGTTTAGTCTTGGTTTAGTCCTGGTTTAGACCTGGTTTAGTCCAAAATGTGAAAACAGGAAATTACCGCCCTGTAATCCATTTATTTCAACAAAGTAACTGTAATCCAATTACCACTCACTGAAACAGTAACTGTAACTGAATACAATTACTCATAATTTGTACTCTGATTACATAACTCCAGTACATGTAATCTGTTACTCCCCAACACTGTTTATGATTATATATATGTTTTGACCTCAAGTACTGCTGATACAGTATAGACAAATTGTGCTCAAATACTTCATAAAAATCAGTTACAGGGTCTTTAAATATCTGCCGTATGAAATGTTTTATTTTTAGTTATAGTAACAAAAATCATTGCAATGTATAATGTTAGGAGACACTTCAATTCATATGCAAATGACCACAAAGGAGACGGAGTGAGAGTGGTCAACACTGTACTCACTGTTGGCCATTACTCTCCCTTTCAATGGTGTCTGCAATCCGATACAATAGATTCACTTTGGCTGCAGTTGTCCCCCAACGCAACTGTAGACATGCATTTAAAACAGTGATTGAATGTGACTGTAAACTCCTTTGACCCTTGCGCAATTATCTTGAAGTGTCTCTCTGTAGCACATAATTGCTTGGATCGACAATGTCCCTCAGTTGTAATTCAAATAAGTTGAATCCACCGTAGCTTGTAGTTGGCTCGCACTGATTTCAAATATTGTTGTGATGAGTGGGAGTTGGAAGTAACCTTGTTTTTTATTTCATTTTGCTTCTCTGCCATTTGAGTTGGCTGTCAGGTCATTGGCAGATCTTTGTTGGTCTGTTAGTACTGCACAAGGCCAGACGCTTTCAGCCCAGCAGCCCCGAAGCATTTGAAAATATTATGGCCTGCAAATTGCTTTAGGAGCCAAAGTGCACAGCTTTTACTGGTTTACCCTTTGAGACCATGTTGCCAACTGCCAAGCTTGGGCATTTTTGGAAAAGCAAGAAAATAGCTATGCATGTGATCCAACTACTGTACAGCTTCAGAATAGCAGAGTTAAATAATTCACCAGCAAACGGCCCTTTTTTGTCCTTGGGAACAAAACAACTACAAAGCATTGTGGTGTGATAACAGTGGGTAGTTTCTATGCAAAAAAAAAAAAAAAAAAAGCCAGGCAAAAACATATTTGTCTTTGTTGCGATGGCTTCCAAACAGCGAGATGTGGCACCTCTTTCATAGCAAAGGTCACCAGAACACCTGCTGTGTTTGTTTGTGCTGAAAAGAACATAAATGCCACCTCTCCACCAGCACTGACGCTTTAAGTAATAAAAATGACATCCTTTCACTACAGAGGCAGAGTGCAGCCCATACCATTTATCTCCAGTCTAGTACGCCGTGTGGGGTTAATGCATGTGACCCCTGCAAGTAGTATTGTATTTGACATTTTTACACTACGTCTTCAAGCGTGTAAACAGTATCCTTTTATTAGAGAAGATGTATATCATTACAATTTGTTATGTATTATCTTTAAGTTATATTTGAATGAGACAAAGAGATAAGAGATATTTCTGACAAAGCTGACATCTTCGTAATCCCTCCCATATGGAAAAGTTATAGACAAATCACACACCATTTGAACATTTTTTATCTGAATCCTAAAAGATTTGTATATGACAGTGAAAAAAAACACTTACAAGATCTTTGGTAAATATGTGCAGCATGAAACATATAAAACTTTGTAACCTGCAAGAGCTGAATATGACACTGATCCCACACACAATGTCCTCACAAGTGTTGGACAAAGGTCATTTAATTCATAGAAAAACAAGTGAAATGATGATTGTTTCCTTAAACTTGATTGCTGTGTGTGTGTGTGTGTGTGTGTGTGTGTGTTGTGCAGCATGGGGGTAAACACAGTAATGTAAATATTGCTTTACAACCTTAAAAAACATCTTCCACTGATATCACAGTGAACAAACATCAGGCTGTAAAAATATTTTTACTTTGCAAAATCCTAATTATTACAAAGGTCTATATTGACTTGTAATATTCCAAAAAGCAGCTATACACTTATGTTTTTTTCACATGCCTCAACTGACAAGACGTCATATCACTTACAAATACCAAGGTACTTGTAACTGTCCTCAATATCTGCTATTGTTCCTACTGAACTCAACAGCTGGTTACCTCTATTGATAAGTCACTGGATCCACATGATAGATCTGGGGTCAAATCCCCCTTCAGACTCTGATTGTTTTTTCTGCAACATATAATTAAAGAATACAAACATTACATGGAACATACAAAGAAAATGTAGTTTATCATGCACATTACCTGTAAATGTCCTGCAAAATGTTCACTTTATCTTTACTAGTTTTTCATAATATAGTTGTATGAGAAAAATGTAAAAGGGGGACATTTTCAGGAGTAAACCACACATGACACATATTAACCTTATATAAAGATTTACTACAAAGACACTGGTAAATTCTTATATTTTTTTCCAGTTTTTTTCCATATGGGCTCAGTTGTCCAGGTATACTCCATAGCATAAGAAAAATGCACTTCTGTCAACTGGACAGAAGTTTTAGAGTTAAGACATTTTGCTGCTCATCCAAGTGGCTTCTTCAGTTCTGGTCAGATTGCTGGTGGACACTGCATTATATCTGTTTGAAGGGAGGAGCTAACTACACTGAAACTAACCTATTTGTCTACAGTTTCTGTGCGTTAGTGTGTGTGAGTCATATTTTGCATAATCGTTCAGGGCCCTAATAGGTGTTCTTACACCTCTCACCTATTAGCATACAGGCTATCACTATTGTTTTCCTTGTTTTGATTTAGGAGTTATAAATAGGAGATAAATGATGTCTAAGACTCCCATTCTGGCACAAAGATGGATTGCCTTTCCTAACAAAACTGCCTCTTTAACTCCCCTCTCAACTAATGTATTTTCTTTTGCGCTATAGACAAAGCTGACATTAAAATCATCTCACATGAAGGAGGCAGTAGACCTTTAAAACTTGTCAAGATAAAAAACAAATAAAGCAAAATAAAAATATCTTTTTGCTGAACTCATATTTTACAGACATAATATTAAAGCACAGAATCCAATAAGAACATCTTCAATGTAATAGTCAATATATTGTGATAACAAACTGTATGCACAAAGAGTCTGGGAATATTTTTGTCGTGTAGACACTCAAAGTCGCTTAACATGCATTATTCAGTCACTGTCTCCACACACCCGGTGTTGGTAAGTGGTATGTAGCTATGGTCTTTTCAACTACCAGTCACACACTTGCACACTCATACATACACAACAGACCAGGGTGAAAAGTCTTGTCAAGGACATAGCAACACTGTAAGAATTCAGGTTAGTTTTTGTCTGTCATATTTTAACCTTTTACCTCTCCAAAGCCACTTCAGATACCGTTTATGTATTCATCAGAATTTTTCTTTTGCAGTAAACGACACAGAAGAAGCTGGCCCACTGCAGACAGTTGACATCAGCACCCCAGACACCACCAAATGGCTCTTACGGGACCTGGAGGCTGTGAGCAAATACAAGTTCTACCTGCGCTCCTGCACCACCATGGGCTGCGGTCCGGTCGTCAGCGAGGAGTGCACCACTACTCTCGAAGCAAGTGAGTGACAAGTGCAGCACAAAGCAATCGAGTCGGTGCAATAGGATTTAGATAGACTTTGGGTGCTTTCAAACAATGGGTTCACAGGCACAAGTTTAGAGGAGGTGAAATTGAACCCGAGTAAAAGCTGTCACGCTATTTTAAAGGGCTCGTATTACTATTTTCTAATCCCAGTTATGTTGTTTCCTCATCAAAAACATAACTGTATTTTTGTTTCATTCACACATTTTAACATGCAAAATCAGCATATTTAGACTCAATCAGAAAACATTCTGTTCCACCTTGTGTTGTCCTGTACAAGAAGTGCTCCACTGTGTTTTTAAACTCTTTACACCTTCACTAGAATAAAGGATGACCATGGATGCTTTCAGATCCGAAATGACCTATCTCTCCTGAACTTACTGTAAAAGGTAGCTGTTAACTTGAAAACTACCACTTAATGACATCACAAGGTGGAACAGCACACGTTGACTTTTTGAGATGTAGACAGACTAATAATATAGGGCTACTCGGAGTAACTGTAATGCAAAATGTAAAGGATTTCAGTGGTTTTCTGTCTAGGAAAAAAAAAAAAAAAACTACTGAAATCCTGAAAATGTGTACTCGATACGTATGTGTATTCTCAAATGTACTGTATGAATGTGTAACCTGACTGCCTCCCTTTTTAGTTACTAACTTATTATTTCTTTATTTTATACTTGTATGTGTATATGTAGGTATGTGTATGTATATGAGTATGTATATATGTATATGTATGTGTATATGTGTGTGTGTGTGTATATATATATATATATATATATATATATATATATATATATATATATATATGTATGTACCTGGTACACATTTTGTATATGTTGTATACGTACATATATAATCCTTTTCATTATTAAGTATCATCATCATTATTATTGCTATTATGTTATTTATTTTATTATTATTTAGTTATTTAGTTAATTTTTTATTTTTATTTTTTCCCTTTTTAAAAAAAAAACAAAAACTACTTTCTACGTTTATATTGAGTTTATGTGTGTGTGTGTGTACTCAAACACGTGTGGATGAAACAAAACACAATTCCAGGTATGTGTTGATGAGGTAACAATGGTATTACATGGCTTAAATTTCACAGGAATCCATTTTGTGTAATATAAGACCTTTAAAATGGCATCAAACGGGCGAGATATGATATACACCCAGGCAGCTTTTCATATCTCTGTGTAAGTAATTTTTTTAGTGGATAAACAATTTTATACGGACAAAGTAGGGGCTTTTCATTTGTCACTGTCATGGCCAGGCAAGTGCTTATTGATTGGACAGAGCCCAAGTTCAATGAAACAATCAGTTAAGAGAGAAAATTGCTTTGAGCAGGAGGAAACTGTGGCCTTTTGTGCTATACCGAAAAATTATGAATGAATCAAATCTAAGTGATGCTAATTCTGTGGTTTGTAGCATGTAAAATTCTGCACCATCACCTAACATGTATTGTCTTATTAAAAGGCAAAAACATTTTTATGTGTGCAACTTTCTGAATAGTCAATACTGGATGTATTTTAATTTGGACATATTCTCCGTACATACAGTAGTTATATAAACCAGCAGGATTTCTTGATTGTTCAAAATGAATGGCATATTTATAAAAACAGATCTAAGGCTCTAACACACCAGACAGCATATTTGCAATCACAGAAAAACATTTATTGGGTCTCAGTATTTATATATTGAAGAGAGAATAAATGAATACTTATAGCAAGGCTTCGCTTTTATGAACTGTATGAATGTGCTCACTTAAAATGGTATAATATTTAGTAAAAAGTGAAAAGCATATTTCTCATGTATTTTTTGCTTAACTGGCCAGTGATTTCAAGTTGGTCATAATAGCACCACTCTTATTGCTTTATATAGCATCATCGAACCACTTTCCCTGACCAACCTTGCCCGATGTGTCGTCTATAACTCTTTCACACTTGTGCACGGGTTTGGGCGGGGGAAACCAGACGCTTTATCTCCTGTGATGCTGGCTGTGAACTGTGGCTTGGCTAGTTCCAATAGTCACTGTGTCTTTGTCTGTGCCACTAAAATATACTGCTTTGATTTATTTTTCATTTGATTTATTTTTACAGCTCCCACTTTGGCTTCCACGCTTGGCACCAGTATGTAGAGTAGTAATAATGTACTAGACTAGTGGCATGCTTAACATTAGTTCTTGCAGACTTTCTAACCCAATAGTTGTAGTACATATTTTAGTAGCCTTTGAATTTGCCTGTTTAGAAATGTGCATGTGTTGCTGAGTATCCACTGTGAGAACTCAATAGGCCACTATAATGCCAGGGCCGGATTACAAACAGTGAGCTCCTCTGTGCATAATTGACCTTGTCTAATGTTTGCCCTTGCCATCAGCGGAGAGCACTCTGATGCCTCCTTTCATTAGAAAAATGTCAACTTCCTCTAAGATAAAGTTTGTGGCATCCTCGCTAATCACAATGCTAATGAGTAACCTAATTATAAATTCATATTAATCTTGGCTCATTAGTAACTATAAACGAATATTGACTTTTATCCATGTGACTCCAGAGTCAGAGCAACAAGCTGAGAAAAAAAAAATCCATATTATATCCCCTATTCCCATCAGCACAAAACTGCTTTCATAGTTTCACTTCAAAATTTTGCACCTATAAAATGCTGTTTTGTGTAATTTTGTTAACTAGTACGGAAGCCCTGAGAGGCAAGAGAAAAAAAAAAAGACGCAGGTCATTTGGGCTCTATTTTCTAAGTGTTAAAAAAAACACAAGTGGAAAAAAAAATGTAGAAAAAAATAAATTTTTAGAAAAAAATGGAAATTGTAGAAAAAAAAAATTTATAGATTTTTTTGGTAAAAAAAAAAAAAAAAAATCTAAAAAAAAAAAATTTTTTGTACAATTTTCATTAAAAAAAATTATATATATAAATTTTCTACTTTTTTTTTCTCTTGTGTTCTTTTTTTTTTTTTTTTTTGCTGTTGATGTGGCTGACGAAAAAAAAAAAAAAAATGAAAAAACTATTCAGCTAGAATCAAAACACACAACCCGTACCAGGTGAGTTTCAAACCCCGGCCTCCCACGTCCCAACCTAGAACCTAACGCCATAAGTCAAATCTCCAATGACTTGCTGAAGCTAAAGTGTGGTACTTATAGGAATACACCAGGAAAACACTTAGGCTCTGAGTGGTGTTTTTTTTTTTTTTTTTTTTTTTTTTTTTTTTTTTCATCAGCCACATCAAGAGCGAAAAAAAAAACAAAAAACACAAGAGAAAAAGAAAAAAAAGTCGCAAAAATATGTAGATTTTTTTTTTTGAGAATTTTTTATTTTTTTTTTTTTAAGTTGATGAAAAAAAAAAAAAAAAAACACTTAGAAAATAGAGCCCGAATGACCTGCCTCTTTTTTTTCTCTCTTGCCTCTCAGGGCTTCCAAAAACTAGAACAATTTGCAGAAATATAAATAATGTTTATACAATAAATCAGACTTTTTTTTTTTTTCTTTAAATACAAAATATACAGGTCAAAAATATGACTATAGGTAACTGATCATAACATTTGCAATACAGTGTAGTACTTTGTAAACAAGTAAACCTATATAGTCAATATGCAACCTTCTCCCATACTTCATGTAAGTATTCATAAACTTTAAATGTGCACTATCGACCCCTTTGTGTAGATATATACATACTAATTTTCACCCTTAGTTTAAAATAGTGCTAACCTTAGATTGTAGTTCCTCAGAGATCTCTCAATTGATAACCGCAAGGTCTGTTTTTCTTTCCAGGCAAGTCAGCCTCCCCCTCACCTCCGAGCACTACCAAGTCCCCAGCCACCAAACCCACACGTTCTGTTATAGGTAGAACTGCAGCACATCTCTGCATCACGCACACAACTCCTTTAAAAAGCAGCCACAAAAATCCAAATGGTAGAAGGCTACAGTGTTTTTTTGTTTTTGTTTTGTTTTTTGCAGAACATGTAGTTTATTTTAGTTTTGCTCAATTTTTTTGTATATTTCTTTTGGTATTATCCTCATTCTGAAATGTGCTGAAAAACAATACATTTTAAAAGATTTGTAGCGTTCCTCAGTTCCCCTGCATTTACCATTACTGTAAAGCTAAAAACAACTAGCATGCTAACCACTCTCTTCCTGCTTCTCAGAAAATATAAGGAGATACAGACTGTAAACAGCTTACACAACTTATTTTTTTCATACAGTTTGTACTAGCACAACAATTTTGCCCAAATACATGGAAAAAAATGGGTACAAATTGGATATAACTAATTTTCATAACAGTACAATACATTAAATTACTTTCAAAGTTTTGGAAACAAATCTTAGATTGAAATGGAATGCAATATGAAGTTCATTTTCATTTTGTATAGGATAGGCCTACCTGGTTTAATTTCACTGCAATGCCATTGGGGAAATCTGCAATAGTAGATCTATATTGGGTTCTGCCAGACTGGCTCCAGTCACTTAAACAGCACAAACACATCTAATTGTCAGTGATTGATTTGTTGGGCCCCAGTTTCCACTTGTATGTGTTTGTGTATTGACCCAACAGTCGCCTGACATTTCCATGTAATCTTCAGCAACACTGCAGCCTGTGAGTGGACAGAAAAAAAAAAAAAAAAAAAAAAAAAACAGTCTTCCATGGGTACACCAGAGGGGGGTGATCTCAAAGGAGGATGGTATTTACAGCACACAGAGATAAGTGGATAAGTGGAAATTGATAGGGCCTATATTACCCGTCTTTTTCATATAGTAAAAAAGCATGGTGACTTTGAAGGGGGTGTCTTTCAGGGCGCGGACCCCCCGCTGGGCTAGCATCTGCTTTATACAACATATAATGGCACGCTAAGGAACGCTAGTGACAAACACACCAACCCTGCCGCCTCTGGAAATCAACCCGGCTCTGAAATTTATTCTTTAAAGTTTTGTTCAGTATGACCACAATACAAATGTACTACTTACTGTTGCATTTTAGTT